TGAAAGGACACACAGGGACAATCTGGTGTAGATTTAAAGCAAACCTGACTCAGGATTCGGTGCTGGAGGAAGTGGTTCCAGCAGAACTAGCAGGCCTTGGGGACAGCATGGGTGTGTTGTGGGGGACAGACAACAAACGTTCTCTGGGCTGCAGAGACACAGATATCAGGGACAGACACACCTTACAAAGACATGCTCCCACCTCCTCACCCACTCACCATTCTAGCGCTTTTAGCCAGGCCCCACCTTCCAGTACCATCATCTAATTGTGAACCCATTCATTAGGTCTGAGCCTCCACTCCCTTATGATGTGACCTACCAGCTGAGGACCAGGCTCTGCCATTTGAGTCTTTGGGGGAGACAACATTTGATATTCAGTGTTGAGTCTGAATACAGGTGTCCTGAGCTGGTAGCTTAAAGACCGCCTTGCCATCCCATCCTTTCATGAGAGAAGAATTAATCTGTGGATGTATTTGCTGATTCGCAAGGTGAACTTCCTCTCCAAGGTAGCCATGACAGCTTGCTGACGGGTGCCCACCAACTTGTAACTCCTGGCTGGCTTATTCCTGGTGTCTGGGAAGATGACGGGGTGACAACCCTGTCTGGCCCTCTGGTCACTCTGGAAGGGAGACTTCTAGGGTCCCTGCAGCAGGGTGCTATGGTCAATCCAAAAGACCTCCCACTTCCACCCCCCCACACACACACACAGAGACTTCACACAGTACAGAGATCAGGTTTGGTGTGGTAGCACACGCCTTCACTCCCAGAACTTGAGAGTAGAGGCAGATAAATCTCTGTGAGTTCAAGGCCATCTTGACATGTTCAAGAATTGCTGTCTACATAGTAAGACCCTGCCTAACCCTAAGGTCTATGGCCGCTGTTCAGTTCCGGACTGCAAAACTTGTCTCTGTCATTTGGAATTCCTGTGCCAGGGGCCTCTTGGCACCTGTTCTTATTGCTGTGATAAACGCCAGGACCAAAAGCAACTTGAGGAAAGGGTTTATTGCATCTAAGAGCTTGTAGACCATCATCCAGGGAAGTCAGGAAGTAGAAACTGAAGCAAAGCCATGGAGGAGTGCTGCTCACTGGCTCCGTCAGCCTGCTTTCTTGGTCACCCGGGATTGCCAGCCCGGGTCAGGGGGACACTGTTCACAGTGATGGGCCTTTCCGTATCGACCATCAATCAAGAAAAATGCTCCACGGGCTTGCCTACAGCCGGTCTGGCGGGGGCTTTTCTCAATTGAGGCTGTCTCCTCCAAAACGACTCTAGCTTGTGTCAAGCTGACGTAAAACTAGTCGGCACAGTTCTCCAAGATTCTGACCTCCAGGCTGCACACCCCCACCCACCAGCCCCCCATCTGCTCTGGGGAGAATTTAATTGCTTTCCTACCTAGCACCTTGTAAAGTCTGCAGGCACAGAGGGCTTTGAAGATTAAAGTATGAAAGGAAGTTAATTATTTAAAGACACATTTGAAGTGGGGCAAACTGAACTTTGATTAAAAAACAAGAAGTCTAAATTGCCAATTACCAGTAGCAAGCTCTTCTTCATATGTGGCAAATGAGCAGGGGCTTATCTCTACGTCAGGTGTTCTGACTGGCGCACCTTGACTCAGGCATGTCATTCCAGTTCTGTACATAAGGAAACCTAAGCACAGGGAGGTTGGTGCCTCGCCTAGGGTAACTCAAAAGGCAAGGACAGAGATTTGAACCCATATCTGTGTCCCTTCCTCAGGGTACTATTGGGATAGAAAGATGTATTTGTTCCTGGAGAAATCAGTCCCCAGGGCTCTCTATGACTCAATGTTCCTATGCCCATTGCATCTATTTAAGACTGAGAAATAAACCAGGCGGTGGTGGTGCAGGCCTTTAATCCCAGCACTCGGGAGGCAGAGGCAGACGGATCTCTGTGAGTTCAAGGCCAGCCTGGTCTACAAGATCTAGTTCTAGGACAGGCACCAAAGCTACAGAGAAACTCTTGTCTTGAAAAACCAAAAAACAAAACAAAACAAAACAAACAAACAAAAAAACCAAAAACCAAAACCAAAACAAAAATATAAAAAAAAATGAGAAATAACTATTTGTAATTGATGAGAAAGAAAATTGGGTTCTATGGTATCAATGAGGACACTTAAGCTGTCTGAAATTACAGAAACAGCTCACTACGGCTCTAGTAGGACATAGTCCATTAGTCATGGATTCAATTGGTGAGGATGTTGCTAGGAGGGACCGTTTTGGTGCCTCTCTTTCCAGCATCCTGCTGGGCCTCGCTCGGCGGAGCATTGTCTTTCCATCTGGGCACAGCACCACCAAACCTCATTATCCTCTCTGCTCACTGTTATTAAACACCCAGCGTTGATGAGATTTTCTGGAGGCCAAAACAGTAACTGTGGCTTAATGGGGGACATCTGCGAGCCCAGTTAAGCGCCGAGTGATTGCAGAGACCCTCGCGCAGCCCAGCTCTGCTGCCTCCCAGCAGCAGGCAGTTTTCTTCTTCGCGGAGGCCCCCTTCTTATCCAAGCCTTCCCCGAGGCTTCCTTCCTGTGTGACACCGTGGAGAGAAGATGCCAGGTCAGCGGCAAACATCCAGCAAGCTTGTAGAGTTGGAACTGCCGCCAAGGGTCGTGGATTGAAAGGCAGCCCCCACGTAATGTACCTGGAACCTCAGTGTGTTTATCTCTTCTAGAAAGCACCTCGAGTAACATTTGACCAACTCTCTGGGTATCTACTGGTCCCATTAAGTTGGCATACGGAATTAGCTGCTCGTGGTGGAGTGCCATACACAGCCTGAGAGCCTCCCACTCAGCGAAGGTCAGGGCCTCACTGTAGCACAGACTGTCTGTGTGTAGTGTACATGTATATATGGTATCTCTGTTTGTGCATGCTGTCTGTGCATATGGTTTATGTTATGGTGTATTTATGTATTTATGTATGGTATGTATGTGTGTGGTGTGTGTGTGTGTAAAGTCTGTGGTGTGTATGTATAGTGTGTTTGGTGTACATATAGGTATGCATGGTGTTTGCATGTGTTTGTGTGTGTGTGTAGCATGCACATGAGTGTACACATGCACATATCCCTACATATCCATGCAGAGGCCAAAGTAGGACCTCAGGTGTCTTCTTCTGTTACTCTCTGTCCTATTGCCTTAGGACAGGGTCCCTCATTGAGCTGGAAGCTCAGTGTGCCAGCTAGGCTAGTCAGCCAGCCAGCTCTCATGACCCTTCCTCCAGTGTTGGGGTTTCATGATGTGGGATTTCCCTTTGTATGCTGTGAATATCATTGGTTAATAAAGGAACTGCTTTGGGCCTATAGCAGAGCTACAGGGGAACAGAGCTAAGCAAGGAAAACTAAAGTGAATGCTGGGAGAAAGAGGGCTGAGTTAGAGAGAAGCCATGTAGCCCTGCCAGAGACAGACATCGAAACTTTAGCCCATAAGCCACAGCCACGTGGCGATACACAGATTAATAGAAATGGATTAAATTAATATGTAAGCCAATAAGAAGCTAGAGCTAATGGGCCAAGCAGTGATCTAATTAATTGTTTCGGGGGCCGAGCAGCCGGGAACCAACAAGCGGCCTCCTCAACAGTTTCAGGCACATGCCAGCTATGCCCAGCTTTTTACTCATATGCTGGGACTCAGATTCAGGTCCTGCTGCTTTCAAACCCAGGGTCATCTCTCCAGAGCACCAAGGTGTCTATGTAAAGACTAATGCCCACGTGTTTCTCTCCCATGTGTCCTTCAAGTATTTCCCGGCTAGCAGTTTATTAACTTAGTGACTTCTTCCTGGAAAGAGACACTGGCCAGCACCTGGCTGCCAGGCCTGCCTGCAGCTCTCTGGAATATTCCTGAACTCCTATTACCCTATGGGAGCCCTGTTATCATTCACCCCATTCTCCAGATGAGGACACTGAGGTCCAGGGAGACTGGATACCCCTGTTAGGCTTTTGCAAGTAGTATGTGAGCTTGAGAATTTACTTGTACACCAGCCTCATCAGAGGGGGGAATAAGGGATGAGGTTCTACCTTCCTTAGTACAGCTAGGCAACCCTTAAATCCAGGACAGGCCCATGTGGGCGTGAGGAGCAAGAAACATTGGCTGCTGGGTTCAGTCGGTCTGCCGCATGGCTTCTTTGGCCTCAATACCCCACCAGCCATTTCTGTTTGTTTCTGTCCCCCAATGCCTTCTTCACCTGACCACAGAGAACCACCTGCTCCATCCCCATCATTGGTGCCCTGTGCGGGCATCAGCCTTGGTTTCCTGCTGCCCCACCCGGCCATGCTCCCAAGTGAGACAGGCTGGGTTAAGCGCCTCTGGATTAGGGAGGTGCTAATGACCTAATATCTCAGCTGGGGATTTGATTGATCCCACAGCGCAGCAGGAGAGGCTCCCGCTGATTTCTCTCTCAGATGCCACCACTTCAATTATGCTAAGTCCTCATCAAGAGAGAATTAGGGGAGATAAAAGGCAAGCGCTTGGGGATCCCATGGACCACCTGCTACACAGCTGCATAATATCCATTCTCAGCTGTCACCTGCCAAGGCAAGGTGTCACCGCCAGCCCTCCCTAAATCTAATCTTCCCAGGGCTCATAAGCCCAAGTTTTAAGTGACCTTTTACCCTCCAGACTCCTATTTCTTTAACTATTGGTTCCAGACAAAGAGCAGGCAACTCCTTCCTGTTTCCACTTTCCCCCAACTTTAAGGGTTCCCCAACTATACAAGGCTGGGATGGATGCTGGACTCCAGACCCCACTCCTTGCTCTCTGATGGATATAAGTGTCTGGCTCATTTACCAGCTGCAAAGAGTACCAACTTACCAACGGTATCTCTGGGCCTCAGTTTCCTCAGCTAGAGAATGGGGTGAATGGTACCTTGGGAAGTTTCCATGAGGTCACTGAGGGAGCTTGAGCCATCTTAAAACTCACCGACGCCCACAGGATTTTGAATGTCAGTCTCTGAGCCGTCTCTAGGCCATCCATGTTCCTGAAGAAAATGGCCGACGATGACTTGATAACATCAATAGCTTCTATTTTATATTTGTTGTTTGCTAAGACAGAGTTTCTCTATGAAGCAACCTGGATGTCCCAAAACTCACTCTGTAGACCAGGCTGGGCTCAAACTCATAGAGATTCACCTGCTTCTGCCTCCTGAGTGCTGGAATTAAAGGCATGTGCCACCACAGCCTGGAAATAGCTCTTATTTTAATAGTGATTGAAAACACAATTATGTGCATACATATTTGCTTTTAACATAAACTTGACCTCAAGAAACCTAGAAAATCAGAAGTTAAAACAGCTCAGCCATAACAGGATTCAAAAATACAGTTTGGAAAGGGAAGCATGTGACCAGTGTGACAGGTCATTTAGGGCCAGAGCGTGTCTCCGAATGCATTCTCATCTAAGGTCAGGTCTCAGGTTTTGCGGGGACATAGCAGGGCTGGACCTCTGAGGACTGATATTTCCATTTAGACTCATGGGTGGTAGGATAAGAAGCTGTTGGTACAAGTCAGGTATCACGGGGCACAGCAAAGAGGATGGTGGTTCAAGGCCAGCCTGGCGATGTGAGATGTTCTCTCAAAAGAAAGAGAGGGAGAGGAGGAGGAAGGAGGGGGGAAGCAGCTCCTGGGGCTGATCTCATTCTTAAGCAGGGAATGTTCAGGGGAGTGAATGAGTTTTGGGAAGGGATGAGCTGCAGACTGAGTAGGTAAGGGGGCAGCTGCAGTCACTAAGCCTGGCCCTGGGACAGCACGCTTTCCTGGAACATGTCTCGGGATCCTGCTGGCAATGGCCGATGAGCTCTGGTATCATCCCATTTCCCAGCTGAGGACGGAGTTTTGCAATTCCGAGAGTTTGTTCCAGAGCTCGAGGCTCTTAGCTTGCTGCAGCAGCCACCTGTGACGGAGGAGTGGCGGCGGATTTCAGACAGAGCTGTAAAATAGATACGGAGATTAGATTCTGATACTGGCGACTCCCGGGCAGAAAACAGCACATGGCGGCTGTGACTTGATTTGGTCCGGAAATGATGGAAACGCAGGGCGAGTAAGGTGGGTTTGCAACAGGCATTTTGGGACGGTGCCTGCTAAACGGAGCACACGCCCTTGTGACTAGCGACACTCTGGAGCTGTTGGCTGGCGGGGGGGGG